CCCCGCCCCCCCCTCCCCTGGCGTTCCCCCTCCGAGGGAGTTCCAGTCCCTCGGCGGTGGCCCTCTGCATGTACATGCCGTACGTGTTGTGCCAGTGCCGGTGCTCGATGCCCGCGAGGCTCAGGCAGTCTTTCTTCATGGAGACCTTTTTTTAGCGGACACGGGGGGGGAGGGACAAGCAACGTCAGTGGGGCGGAAAGAGACAGAGACGCTCCTTTGTTTCGCTGCTGCAAAATTGTACAACGCCAACAATCTGGCGGGAACCAACCGATTCTCTTTCGACGTTGTGACGCCTAAACAAACAAAAAAAAAAGCAATGGGGGTGGGGTTCTCCTTCTCACCTCCGGGCCGTTGAAGACGCTGGGCTCGTTCATGTCGTTCCACGTGTAAAGGTCGAGCGTGCTGCCCTCGTACTCCTCGAGGGCGAACCTGGAAGCCCACCACTCCCTCACGCCCTCGTCCGTGAAGTCGAGGTAGCTAGACTGCCCCGGCCAGCACCACCCGTCGAAATCCTTCATAACCACAGCAACAGCGGCAGTAGCAGCAGCAGCAGCAGCAGCAGCAGCGGTAGCAGCAGCAGCAATAGCAGCAGCAAAAGCAGTAGCAACAGCAACAACAGCAGCAGTCAGCAGCAGTAGCAGTAGCAACAACAGCAACAGCAACAACAACAACAAAAGCAACAACAGCCGCCGCAGCAGCAGCAGCGGCAGCAGCAGCAGCAGCAGCAAATAGCAGTAGTGGCTCACATTACCGTCCTTGTCCTTGATGTAGAGGCCCTTGGCGGTGGCCTCCTTGTGCACGGCGTACTTGCCGTCTCGCTTGATGTGCGGGTCGACGATCGTCACCATCCGTCTACCGTGGGCCGCCACCTAGGATGGATACCAACGACGCGAATGTATGACATCAGTGCCGGCAACGACGACGACGACGACGACGACGACGATGGCGACGGCGACGACACACAGCGAACAGAGAGCGAAGAACGCAACAGCAACGACAATTTAAAACCAACAACAACAACAACAACAACAACAACAACAACAACAACAACAACAACAACAACAACAACAACAACAACAACAACAACAAAAACGCCCGATCCACACCTTGTCGATCATCCTCTTCGGGTCCGGGAAGAGGCCCTTGTCCCAGGTGAAGTACCGCTTGCCGTCCGTGTGCTCGATGTCCAACCAGATCACGTCGTACGGGAAGTCGCGCTCCTCGAAGCCGGCGTCGACCGACAGCACATCCTGAAGGATTTGGACGGGGCGCAGGGGGTGCGGGCGGGAAGTTGTGTTGTCACCAAAACAAAACGAGTTCGTTTATATCCGCAGCGAAGAGCCCGTGAAAAAAGCATGCTTTTATTCGACATTCTTTTTCATTGTCACATGCGTTTTTTCTCTTGTCCATCATTTTCTGTTGTGCTCTTTCGTCGCATCCCATCGCTTCTCTTCCGTCTGGTTCACAGGCGTCAGGGTTCGGCATGGTGCAGCGATGTCGCTGCGGCTGTCCCGGACAGGTGACAAAGCGCTCTCTCTCTCTCTCTCTCTCTCTCTCTCTCTCTCTCTCTCTCTCTCTCTCTCTCT